ACTGACATTTGTAGTCAGTCACACACTCACACTCACTCAGCAGTGTTTGCTGGTTGACAACAAAATAACTTAATTCACTGGGCCGACTGCTGATGACTTTTAAGGTGGAACGTTAAGTTGTAATGTTATGCAATGCATGAGTTGGTGATGCAAATCAATCAACACCTTAAATTTCACTGTGACAACTTTGACCATCACTTTAGTTTTTATACGACATACACTTTTAGTAATGAGAGGATCTTCAAGCGTTTATAGATATTACTTTCAGTCAGATTATGTAAACAACATATGTTCTAATCCTCACTTCGAGAAAAAAAAGTGTTGTGGAGCGTTGTTCCTGTGGGCTCCGGCAACACTAACCCCCCGAACTTGCCTTAGAAGGACTAAATGCACAAACCCGCTATTTTTAAATATCCCATGGAGAAAGACTCTCACTGCAGCCTGTTTTACTTTGTTCTGGAACTGTCTGCATTTAACCCTGTTCTGTGAACGATAAACGAGGCGCAGACTTCCATTTGTGTCACCGGTGATGAGGAAATACAGTTAGTGCTGGACGGAGCACTGAGTGACAACAACCCCACCCACATTCAAGAGTACTGCTTAAGTAATAATCTTATTATATAATGACAAAAACTCTGTGTGTGGGTGTGTCTGTGTGTGTTGCACATTTTTCTCCTCACTGACTTGGTCAATCCATGTGAAATTTGGCACAGTGGTAGAGGGTCATGGGAAGATGCGAATGAAGCAATATTACATCAATTGGCCAAAGGAGGGTGCTATAGCAACCGACTGAAATTGCAAACTTTGAATGGGCATATCTCATGCCCCGTGTGTCGTAGAGACATGAAACTTTGCACAGAGATGCCTCTCCTCATGAGGAACAAATTTGCCTCAAGAACCCATAACTTCCGGTTATATAGATTTTCCGCCATTTTGAATTTTTAGAAAAACACTTCAAATCGATCTCTTCCTAGGAAGTTTGACTGATCTGCATGAAACTCGGTGAACATAATCTAGGGACCAATATCTAAAGTTCCCTCTTGGCAAAAGTTGGTAAAAAAACTTACTAAAACTGAGCTTCTATAAGGCAATGAATATTGCGGAGGGCGTGGCTCATCACATAAAGGTGTATAACATCTCAAGGGTTTCACCGATCACCACGCAACTTTGTAGGCATATGACCACACATAATCTAAGGGGACCCCATCAAACAAAATGGGGGCGCTAGAGAGCTAATTTCTTATCTAGGCCTAACCGCCATATCAATTTTTACTAAACTTGGTAGATATGTAGAACAGGACGCCTCAAGGTGACTGGAGAAATTTAACTCAATTGGCAACTGTGTAGCGCTATAACAACAGAAAAATGCTTAAAAATGGCTAAAATGTGACGGATCGCTGTGGCTCCCCCTGTTGCTGAATGTTTGTTTTTTTTTCCCTAAATTTTGGTATGACTAAGTCATGGTATGGTTTGCTGTACATAATCACAGAAACTGTCAGTGTGTCATTCTGTCTGTCAGTCATTCTCATACTGACTGACATGGTCAATTTACGTGAAACAGGTATTGAGGATTGGCATAGGTAGCAGGTGACAAAGCTACCAATGGGTATGGACTAGTTTAAATTAACCTTAAAAACAACAAACAACAACAATGTATGTGAACAGCAATAAAGATGTTTTCACATATCCCTGCAATTTAAATAAGTTGCCAGTTTTCTACCTAGAAATGTTGTTGTTTGCACAACGTCACAGTGATTCAGTCTATACGGTGTCTCTGAATTCACACAGCATAACTGCGAACAGATAGAGTTTAGCACCATCACTTAATGACTAATGTGAATTGCAGCATGCAGTGATATTGTAATGTCACCCTTCATGCTGCACAATGAACAACAAAGTGGTATCAAATACAAGCAGCTGTCAGCATAACGAGCAGAGCTTTAAAGAAACTGCAAGCGTCTGTCTTTCACTCACGATTTCTTCCTCTGACACATTGCTTCATCCCTCTCTCTGTATTTCTGTTTTATTTTCCTCTTCTGTCCCTCTTTCTGCTTCACTCACTCACATCGCTTGTCTCTCTCCCTCAACATTTCATGCCCCTTTATGTGATTGCTCTCACATAAAATCTACTGCAGGTGTTCCAATTTATGTGTGTATCTGTTTACATGGTTGTGTGGAAGTGTGCAGCGATTCTCTCTATCTTTGAGTTGAATACTGCAGAACCAAAGCAAGCATGCCCAAGGCTACACTTATCCCAGCTTCCTGGCCACTCCAATAGGATGCAGCTTGCTTGCTCTTTATCCTGAGACAGGGAGTTTGCTTTTTTTCATGTTTTAGGAGGCAGTTGTGTTATTTTACTGTCTTTCTCTCTCTTAACCCCCCTCATAGCAGCTGTGAAGCTTTGGACCGTGAACATGGTGTAGTAGTCTGTGGATTGCTTAAAACTAGGGGTTGAAAGAGAGGACAGACTGAACGAATTAGGGAAAATAAATGAAAGTGTAACACGGCTATGGTTCAGAAAATGGTGCCAGGTGAGGAGGGATTTGTGACGTTAAGTTACCAAGCGGCACATTTGCGATGCATGCTTTGCTCAACAGAAATGTCCTTTTGTTGGAAACTTCTGCAAGGTATTACACAGTGTAACAGCTCCACCTTCTCGGGGCAGGGTGACTTGATGGTAAATTATTACACACAACTGATCAGCAGCTATGTATCCTGGAGGAATGTAATGAATCCAGTCAGTTATGGACAGCCAATATTGTCGGTTTGACCTTTTCCTTATTCCACATTCCTCGCATGCTCTGAACTAAAAGTTAACTATGTTGCATTCACTGTAAAGCAGCAGAATGTGGTTACGCAGATGACTCATTAAATTTGAAGAGTTTTTCACTTCTAGCAGCTCTCTTCCTGCATGTTCTGCATACTGAGTTGCCATTTTCAATTAATTTACCCTCAGCACTCTTAATTAACCAAAGTATGGTCAAAATGGACCTGGAGGGCTGGAACACTTTGGAGAAGTCACAGCATTTTGCTATAGTAAACACAACTTGCCCCTTTGTTTCCAAATACATAATATTAATAGTACTAGAAATGAGAGAAGATTTTGAACTTTATAGTACTGACTTGTAGACTTAGGACCGACTGTTTTTCACCATCATTGCTATCTGACACACTGGAGTCATCCTGATTGTTACCCCTCCCACACACTACATAAACACTAGAGCATCAGGTTTCCCCCCCCCACTCGTAATGTAGCTTTTTTTTACAACACATTCTCACTCTGACCTCGCCACATATTGACGTTTGGTCATGGACTTTCCACGTCCACATACGACGTGCAAGGTACCCTGGGTTCATTGGTTTTTGACGTTCTGGGACACCATGTCATGTTCTGCCTGTTACATGCATTGTCTTCCTTCAAGATACACATAGTTTTCACAGGAAATTTAACATTTACATACAGTGTCTCTTTCAAAGCCTTCAACAACAAAAGCACGTGGTTGGGTTTACCAAAAAATGAACAGGGTTTGGCTTTATAATCTAAACGCAGACACCACTCTCCCAGGTAAAAGTCGGCGTTTGTTGGACCCATCCACCACCCATCTCACCCACTCTTTTCGGTCTTTCAGCGCTTTAACTTTTGTTCATGTCCCGCTGCATTTCCCCCTGATGCTGCAGAAAGTCCGTTTTCAGTTGACATATATAGGGAAAAAAGTTTTTGGCTTGTGATGTCAGTGTGCACTGCTGTCTCTTTTGTAAGGTGTCTGAAATAATGCTGGCTCTGTCCTTGCTAACAGGACTTTTAACATGTTTACATAAATGTACAGTAAAGGCTCATTTATACTCCCTTTACATATTAAAATAGATACGATATGATATACTTTATTGCCCCCACAGGAAAATTTGTCTTGGACAGATATGTGCGTTTCAAATGTTGTAAACATCACTGCCCTCATATTTCCATGCATCCTGTATGTTTGCACAGGCACAGCTAATAAATGGCACTCGAGGGCAGAGTCGAAACACAACATAAAATGAGGCCACAGTTCAGGAGGTTGTAATGCTATACCTTTAAACAGAGGCGGCATTGTAGGCGATGGCAGTGGTTTATACATGCGGATGGAAAATTCTTTTCAATATATTATGGATTCGTTATGTGGTGCCATTTTTTAAGTTTCTTCCTCATCTCCTATGGCCATATCTTGCTTGAACTACTCTAAACTGCCTCCACGATCTCCGGTGGTACTGCTCTAGTTAGTCCTGATCCGTAAGCTTTCAGGAAACGTGCACAAAAACAGACAAAATGAATGTAGTGTACGGACAGAAAGCTCCATCCATCTCTGTCTCAGTCAACACTGAGCATATATGAGCCCTTCCTCTTCCACTATATAGAGGAACAGAGACATCAGAATGCAGTACAAAGGTCACTGCTACAGGTCACCTTCTGATAATGGCTATTTTTCAAGCTTCTGATTGACCAACATCATTATCTTTGTCTTTGTTGCGTGGCTATAGGGTTAGGGGTTATATTGACGTCTATTGGTTCGGCATGCCTATGGCAGCACTTCAGTTGTGTTTTTCATTTTTATTAAGACAGGGATTTTTTATAACAGTGCTTGTGTGGGCAGGATTTTTTTTTTGAGAACAAAGGAGGGAAAACCCTGTTTTCATATGTCCATGTGGACTAGGTCTCACTTCAAAAGCCTATAGTTTACTGAGGTAGCTATCAACAATTAGCTATTACAAATACTTGCACTCACATGACTTGTTATAAGAGCCCACAAATATTTTAACCAACCAACCCGCAAACTGCCAACCTTATGCGTTAAAGTAGCCCAACTGTCAAGACTGCTGTGTGTGTGTGTGTGTGTGTGTGTGTGTGTGTGAGAGAGAGTGAGAATGCAGATAGAGGGAAAGAAGGTGGAAGGTGGACTACTGCATGCAATGTTTCTGTAGGTCATTAATATCTTTTTTTAAAATTCTGTTTTGTCACCCTACAGGCTGTAAGGAGTTGGATTTAATCCAGGGCAACAAAAACATGCAAAGGTCCGTGTCAAAAAAAAATAAAAACAGCCAAACAAAAAAAGTCATAGTTTTGTATGTCAAAAGTCATACAATAAAAAAAAACAGTTTTGTATGTTTAAAAAAATGACAGCCCTCACAATCTTAATATAAAATGTTGAATGTATACTTTTTTAAAAAAAAATCATGGGTCAGAAGTGAAGATGATGAAATCATCAAGCGACTGTGAGCGAGCTTTTGAGAAGACCATGAACTTCTTTACAAACAGTTAAAGAGACGTGACTTGCTTTTTATTAATGATGCAAAAACAGGATGAAAAACTGGACTCAGCGGGATTCATTTGAAGAACTAAGGACAAAAAAAAGGAGATGGAAAATAATTTATCAGTGTAAACTTTGTATTTCAATATAAAAGTTTAATTTGAACGTGTGTGCAACTCAAATTTTGATGAATTTATTCTCTGTTTCATGATATAGACGGTAGCAGGTGGACTGGTGTTTACATGGACTGTGGGAGCAATGGGAGAGTATTCAGGTCAGTCCAAATCTCTGTATCTTTTTAATTCATGAACATTATGCAGTTTTACCAGTGTCAATGCTAACTTTAAATCTAGCCATACATTAGTTTATTGTTGTGTGATTTTTACTTAAGCTTTTAGTTATGTTACACATTAAGAGAGGTGCTTATATTTGCCATTTTTGGATATATAGTGTCAATGGATGACATCTAGGAAGAAGAGGAACATCACAAGACCACCTGAAGGAGCATCTTCTCTGTGCTGAAGCTCTGATGTAGGAAATGTATTCTCTGTATCATCAGCTGCTGTGTTTCATGTTGAATATTGAAAACATAATAAATATTTTAAATTGAGGGGTTTCTTCATTAAAAAAAAGATATGAGGGAGAGAGATTAGGAGTTGCCATAGACCCAAAGTCACAATATTTCCAAAGAAAATTCTCCACAGTATTGATTGGAATAATCTTCTGTGCTCTTCTGTCAATTTGTATTTGTCACGTGTTATTAAATAAAGTACACTTCCAATGAAATGTAATGTTAATTCCTCTAGTTTGTGCATTATATAAAGAGTGCAATAATAAATATATATGTATGATTAGGGGGCCTGTTTCCGTACCCAGGGTCCCCGTCAGGATGCTGTTGATGGTGTGAGACTAGATATTCCTAGGTATCGGAGGGGATATCTGAATATCTCTGGAGTTTCTTCAAGCGTCTGAGGTGGAACAGTATGCAACACCCAGGTCAGGCCGCCAGTGACATGGACACCATGATACTTGAAGCTATCCACCCCTCTACATTGAGCACCTGTTGACATTAAGGTCCCTGCTTCTTCTCAAAGTCAACTATCAGTTCCTGACTTTGCAAGAACAAAAAGTATGTGTCTTTTTTATTGTTTACATGTTAATGTAGTACAGACCAGATTACTGGTGACGGTAAACTTTTTTCTGGATGAGGTTGATCACAGGATGTGTAGCTCCGTCATATCTTAGAGAGCTCATAGTGCCTTATTATCCCACCATAACACTGCCCTCTGAGAACGCAGGGTTACTCGTGGCACCTTCTCTCCTTCTCTCTCTCTCTCTCTCTCTCTCTCTCTCGTATTCTATTACTGCATCTTGCTAACTCGGCCATTCTGGATGTCACTAACTCGGCTTCTTCTCCGGAGCCTTTGTGCTCCACTGTCTCTCAGATTAACTCATATCGCAGCGGTGCCTGGACAGCGTGACGTGTGTGGTTGTGCTGCTGCCGTGGTCCTGCCAGATGCCTCCTGCTGCTGCTGCCATCATTAGTCATTAGTCATACTTCTACTGTTATTATACACATATGATTATTATCACACATGTATACTGCCAGATACTAATATATACTTTCAACATATTGTACCACAGTAGCCAGAACTATAACTATAATATTATTACTTTCATTAATGTTGTTGTAAGCTACTGTCATTACCGTCTGTCCTGCATCTCTCTCTCTCTCTCTCTTTTTCTGTCTCATTGTGTCATACGGATTACTGTTAATTTATTATGCTGATCTGTTCTGTACGACATCTACTGCACGTCTGTCTGTCCTGGAAGAGGGATCCCTCCTAAGCTGCTCTTCCTGAGGTTGATACTGTTTTTTTCCCCCCGTTAAGTTTTTTTGGGGAGTTTTTCCTTATCCGCTGTGAGGGTCCAAAGGACAGAGGGGTGTTGTATGCTGTAAAGCCCTGCGAGGCAAATTGTGATTTGGGATATTGGGTTTTATAAATAAAATTGATTGAATGATTGATTGATGTGTAGCAGAAAGGTAGCTCAGTGTGATGAACAGATCTTTGTAATCCCTTAATTTGCACATTAAACTCCAAACACTGATACTCCATTTCTACTTGTTTTTAAGAAAGTTGTTGAAGGACTTGTTTTTCTGGGCGGATGTAGCTGGAAAGAAAATAAACTGCCTTGTAGACTGTTCAGTATAAGAGTCTGTTTTGAGGTACAACACTCAGAGGAAAGACTGAATAGCGGTCTAATTCAATAGCTCAGTGTTAGAGGAATGATTAGAGATTCTGATGTTGTGGGTTCAATACTAGTTGATGCTCAATGAATTTTGAATGCCTTTGTCCAAATGAATTGTGTGATTTTTCTCTGTATATTTCCATGTACTCCACGGACTGCCATGAAATTTAATACTAGTATTCATGTCCCCCTCAGGACACCTCAAGATTGAAAACATTCTTATAATGATGATGTTGATAGGTTAATAGAGTTTAAGCCTATAGGTGTTTCTCAAAGTCAAGGCAGATGATTTAGAGAAAACAAAAGTTTTTAAATTAATCGTTCACAGCAGAGATGGATCGCCAAGTGTACACCTCCCCTCCTCTCCCTCTATTCACATGATAACGATTTGATAATTGCTTTCTTTCTCAGTTTCAATAGGTGTATTTTTTTGAGAGAATTGCGGTGAGAACAGCCACAGCAAAGACATTAGAATATCCTGCAGGTCAAAGCATCAATTATTTGTTTTGAGGTGAACATATTTCAGAGGGTTACCCGGCGGTATAATGTACAATCGGCACGGTCAGCTGTTTCAGAGCAGCACAGCTCATCAGATCAGATCTGTTCATATTATTGTAGCACAGTGTGTGGTGACACACAAAGAAAATATGTTTCACTTTGAAATGACAGTGATTCTATGTGTGTCTGTGTTCATACTGTTAATTTTAATTTAGAACTTTTTAGCTGTTGACTTTACTTCATTACTCCACTTACACTCAAATATGATCCAGAAATATGTTCTCTCTAAAAGTCACGCGATTCTGACAATACTGATACATTTGTTTAAACTGTACAACATTAGTGAGTGTTAAAATGATCACAGTACCCTGAAACCTTCTCAGTCTGCTGAGAGTTAATAACGATCACGTGGGGACACTTGTTAGCCTGTTCCAATGTGTGGCTGTGGTCGAAAAGTCCTTCCTATCGTCTGTTCCTAACCACTTTTCCTTGACCTCGATGGAAAACTTCATGAGGTCAAGGGAAGATATGAAGGAGAATTCAGAAGGACTTAGGAAAAGACAGCTGTGGTGCTGAGAGAATCCGACTGCACTTACACTGGGCTACGTAATGATGCGACGGCGGATGTTATTGACGTGGGTCTGCTGTGGTGAAACTGCAATGTTCTGAAGATGGACTACAAAATGCACATGATGAGAACGTTCTCATCATGTTGTTTCATGCAGGATATATAAACGTGGACAACACGGTGAAAGATACTGTTTAATTACTAAGGTCGGAATTGAATTAAAGGAATATAGGCTGCCAGCCACAAACTGAAACGAAATTGTCACATTGAGAATGTTTGCTCACACTCACCCATCTGAATCCCAAGTAGTAAAATGAATTAATGATATTACTAAAGGCTGGCATTACAACAACGCTCTAATGAATAAATGACTGATGCATACTGAGCATATGTTACTGTGCTTGTCCCCTCCGTCCACAGCTGTGTTCAACTTGTTTGTTTTATAACAGGATAAACAAATATTAAATGCATTATTTTGTTTTTCCGTGTGAATAAAAAAAAGAATGGAAATCACGTGCTTTTTCCATTTTCTTCTTCAAATGGGCAATTGGAGTAGAAATTAGACCACAACCAATAATTAACTTGTGTTTGGCCTTTATTGTTAAATCAATATTATGTGCCCCTACTGCATAGATAGACAGATAAATAATAATAATATTAATAATAAAAGGGACGCTGCTGTGCCTCGTGCGTAAATGCGCACAGCATCTCTCTTTATGGGGAAACGCCCTTATTGTTTCTGCTGCGGGGTGGGGTGGGGTGCTCGCTGCAGGTATTTAATAACCTTAGGCAGATATCTTTTAACGTTACAGTCTTTTGTAGTTTTGTTATGATCCTTCCACTGTAGCTTTGCAGGGAAACACTGTACAGGGGAATAAAAAAGTGGGAAGCAGTAACTTCATTGATTATTTAAATCTCCAGATACGCCAAGTATATGCGCATTTACACACGAGGCACAGCAACGTTACTTCATTGATTATCTATTTTTTTTAGATTCAGTTTTATTTATATAGTGCCAAATCACAACAAAAGTCATCTCCATCCATCCATCCATCCATCCATCCATCCTGCAGTAGGGGCAGATAATATAGATCTAACAATAATGGCGAAAAACAAGTAGGTTTCTGGTTTTGGTTTAATTTCTATATCAATTAGCCATTTGAAGACGAAAATGGGAAAAGCACGTGGATTTCCGTTTTTTCTCATTCACATGAAAATCGGAAAATTAAAATGATGCACTGTATATTTGCATATTTGTTTATCCTGTTATAAAACAAGTTAAACAAAGCTGTGGACGGAGGGTACACCAATAGTAGCGAAACATTCATAGTTCGCATCTAAGTTTAACATCATGTTGAAAGTTGAAAAAATATATATGAACAAGTTATGGCATGAGATGTATAATGCTTGATAAACAGCGGTAACTTAGATGGTGATCTCCTTCCTTTCTCGGTCACGTTAATCTTTTTCTTTCCTAATCATTTGAGTTTGTGAATGGTGCGTAAATATTGCCGCTGCAATGACTTGTGGGATGGAAATATCTCCTTTCCTATCGCTTAGGAAGGTCCGATGTATCCTATGCTAAAGGAGATCTGAAAGGAAGCATTGAACCTCCTTTCCTTAGTGTTTAGAGAATTCGAACAGCTCTTATCATGGTGGCCACTAAAATACTTCCGGGTCATTTCACTCAGATAGGAAACTTCCTAAGCAAAAAAGACTTTCCGACCGCAGCCTGTGTTCACTGAATGCTAGGGAGGGAGTCCTCCCGTCCTCCCAAGGAAGGATCCTTGACTTTGAGAAACACACTATGGGTGTTTCTTAATGTCAAGGAAGGATCCTCAAAAGGCCGAATTTGAAGGACGTTATGTCATCGACCCCCGCCAAAGGACTGTTCCAATGTCAAGGATCCTTCTGAGTTTCACGAAGGTCTGAGTCCTTCTTTCAGAGAAATTCCAAGGATGCTTGTGTGGATCCTCCTCGGGTATAAAATCCCCACAATGGTTTGCACAGTGCACAATTTGCTGGAAGTGAGGGCGGGGCCTCCTCAATGAAACCTGCACCAGCGGCGCTCGGAAGGATTTAGATTAATATGTCATTTATTTGTATTAATGTCTCCACCTGAGTTTTTATCATACAAGCGTGAAAAAAACCTCATAATTTACACTTTCCAATGTGTCCACTGCCACATAAACTGAACAGCTTTCTCCAATTAAGTCCTCCTGCTAGGACACCATAGCAGCTGACTTTTGAATGCCTTTGTCCAAAGGAGAGACTGAAAACCTTCAACAGAGACAGCTCCTGTGTCTCCAGTTCATTAGCTCAGCAGGGTAGAAGGTTGGCTTGAAGATTGGAGGATCAGGGTTCAATTCTCAGGTGAATAGTCTATCTGTGTTCCTTACAACTTTTAACTTTCTCCTTCACACACCAGCTTGCAAAACAGACTAAGTGTTTCTG